ATATGCCCAAATGAAACATAATAATTCCCCCAGCATGACTAAAATATGTAAATTATGCTAATTTTTCTTCATTTGGCGGTACCTAAATTGACACGATGCGCCATTGCTGTAGCGCATGCGCATATGCACTCACAACAGAAAATGCTTAGCCTCCCACCAAAGCCTTGATTTGTTACAATATATTGGCCAATTAGAGCTCGTCTGACTAAAATAGGGTGTAAAATTTCATCCCTAAAATGATTATTCTGTACACCCTTGCGTATTTCCGTGTTTTATTCCCTAAAAGTTGTAATAGGGGGCGCCCTATTTTTCCAATTTCGTTTAAATCCCAAGAACACCTTTTATTTCTCTGTGTGTAGGGTATGTAAGACCAATTACGGAGTACTGTGAACCTCTAGTTTCTGGTAGTTGGACTCGTAAACAGATTGATGTTAAGAAAGTATACAAAAAAGAGCCTGAGGATCAACTTATATGACGATGCTCTTGAGAGGCTGAAATTGCCAACCCTTGTGACTCGAAGAGAAAAACTCACCTTAGATCTGGCTATTGCACTAGAAACAAATGTATGGTGCAAATCATGGTTACCGCCACAGAAAACCAACAAATACAATTTACGAACGTCAATAAGTATCAAGGATTTTCTTGTAAAACTAAACGATTCCAAAACAGTGCTCTTCCCAATCTCACACGGATGTTAAACTTTCATTATGCAAATCCAAGCTTTTGCCTTAAGAACTGTGCAATATTATGTTATTTTTAACAGGGCAATATCAATCAGTCATTCTTAATTCCGTATATATTTTACTACCCATGCAATTTTAAATTATGCTTGTACACATTAAATTTAATTCCATATTTCCTGATCTCATGTTGTTATTTCATACTTGTATTGTATTTTACTTGCACTGTGAAAGCATGTACAATTCAGTCTATGACTGCCATTCATGTCTTTAATAAACCTTGATTGAATTGAATTGAATAAATACAAAACAGCGATAGAGCGAGTTTGGTAAATGCTCACCAATGAACTCTGAATGTACTTGAATTTATGTTATTTAGGCAAACAGTGCAAATCTAAATATTGTATAACCGTCAAAGTTTTGGTTTTTTATTCATTTCCACTGAATCCACTACCGTACACAAATAATATAATTTTAATTATTTAACTTACGGCTACCCCCCCCCCATAAAACCCCCCCCCCCAAAAAAAAAAATAGATGTGATGAGTAGAAAGTGCAATGAACCGTGCACGGCATACATATAATTATCATAATTATCTATTCAATGAGCCTCTTTGTGCATGGCTGATCGTCAACGAAGCGGAGTTTATATCAACTCCGTTGTGAAGACGAATTCGTTTAATCAAATTATGGAAATGCAGTTTCGTTGACAATCAGCCATGCTTGAAGTTTTTCATTAAACCACTATCCTGCTAAAATGAAACATTTTTTTCTTCTCAGCATTGGTAACAAATAGAAACGAAATGAGAGAGGATGAATGCCATGGCGACCAAGAGTGCCATGCATCGTGCATGACAACCAATCATCATAGTCATCTAATCGATGATCCATGGCATGAATATCACTAGTAGAAAAATTGTTAAAAACCAAATTAATTTCTACTATGATTAAGGATACGCACGTGATCACAAACTAATGGATGTAGTGCTGATAAAGCGTAAACACATAATAATGTAGGCATAGTGATGTTTGTTATTTATTAAAAAAACTTTTTCCGCCATTCGAGGGCAATATGCGATGCTAAAATGCAACAGTAATAAAAGAGAACAAAATAGAAAGATAGTAGCCTACATAGTTGACGACGTCACTATATCATTACAAAAAAAGGAATTAACATGACAAGGATGAACCTCGATTCAAGTGCAAGCTAATACTAGTATCGAATATAAAATGTTTCATTCATGAAAAGACAATGTAATTGAACTGAGAACAAAAGAGAGAAAGGAGAAAATGGTCTTCAATAAGAAAAGAAGAAGAACGGGAAAAAAAGAAGAAGAACGGGAAAAAAAGAAGAAGAGAGAAATTGCTACAAAATAGAGAAAAAGAAGTCCTCTCCCTCACTCTTTCTATCTTCTCATCTCTCTCTCTCTCTTTCTCTTTCTCCCTCGGTCACTCGCTCTTTCACTCAATCTACCTCTGATCTGATGATTTGTTTTAGGATAAGGAGCTTGTGATTTCACTAAATTGTATTTTCCCTTCCAACCTACAAAAAAACAGTCCTTTGGTCCTCCAGCGGGGGATCTGCCCCTGGACCACATCCGCAATAATAAAAGTGATTCCCAATACAACCCTTTGATGTATAAAATCGTTTATGTCTGTCTATCGGTCAGGACGGGTATTTTCAACGTTCTGAATTGCTAAAAAGGGCTCTGCACCACAATAGGGGCCATAAGGCGGGCACTTGGAACCCATCCAGAAGGTCTAGCGTTAACGTGCAGGCAGCACGCTTTGCGCAAACATTGGTTTTGCCCCGCCCGCCCGCCCGCCCCTCCCCTCCATTTTCGGAAATCCTAGGTCCGTCGCTGCATACTAATTCGTAGGTAGACCCTTTATAATGTTTCTATATATCGCCAAATTGATGTACACATGAAAGTGGGTATACTATGCAGCTCTAGCTCTGCTTGGTGCGATGATGTATGCGATGATATTGTCTGTAATGCTACGAAAGCCGGAACACACCCGCTCTATAAAACATCGAACAGGGATCATTGAAATCAATCGCAACCAGCCGCCAAATTGTAGTGTCGTTTATTATTGGACTGCATGCACCTGTTGCACTTAAAGCGTTTTCTATCTATTATTTGTGTGCAAATAAGCACCATTCCACGTGTTTCTTGCTTGGAAAACAACTTTTGTTGTTGTATACTTCAAGATTATTGTTCGACTGAAAGATTATCTATACAGTAGAAGAACAGAGTACAATTGCTTTTAAGGTAAGACTAATCAAAGATCAAAATAATGGGGTTTTATTAATGAATTCGATGAGGACGTTCAATTGTATTGGATAACAAATTCATAAAAAGCTTAATTTTATACATGTATATTTTAAAGAAATACAAAATAAAAATTACATAAAATAATCTTTCTTTTTTTGTGAAGTCTCAATTTTGATATTGCAAACTAATTGTAATGCCCACATTTGGCATGTTTGGTTATTAAATAGGCATCGTTTAACAATGTTAAATCTGAGATGCATGGCCCTTCGTGTAATCAGTGTCTATGATAATGGTGTAATATTGAAGCCCTAAACAAATTGCGCTTCAAAATGATCATGAAGTGCCTCAAAAAAGTAAAAAAATCTTTGAGTGACCGGTTTTACCATACTTATTTTACCATGTAGACTGTAGTGTTATAAAAACTGTTAGGAAAACGAATTCTGAAATTTAACATCCCAATCATAGATATCTTGATAATCAGACAGGAGATTCATGGGATTCATGTATGACCTAAATGGTTATAATTATGATTGCAGCATGAGCTAAAATCCAGGATTTTTTTAAGAATCTGAGGCAAAGTTACCCAATCCCTTTAAGAACATTAAAAACACTCGCAAAGCGTTTTTTGTCAAATTAATTTTGTTATTCCAATCCTTATCTGTAATATAAACCAATCCAATAGTTCCAGGGCTTCATGTTCGTCTTTCTATATCATTTTTCGTAAAAGTGAGCAAACGGTATTACTTTTGAAGTGCTGAATCCTTGACTTTTTTCTTTGTGAATATACAAGAGATGCAGAGACACACATCCGCTGTTACCCTGAGAGGCATGTTCCTACTTATCTGCACTGCATCCGTCATTGGTGAGAGTTAGAATGAACTTAGTCTTTTATTTTAATTTATTAGGGGCATAATCGCGGGCTAGATCAGTTACCTTGGCGGCAAAAGTCCATTTTGAGGGTTTTGAGACATTGGATATTGTAAAAGAGTGTCTGGTTTTAACGTGTTCAGGAGACCTCCCTGCAAAAATTCAAGGTCGAATTCCTGAAATATATTCTGCTGAAAAACAGTTTCAGCCATATTTCAAAATAGCCGCCGTAAGTATGTAATATTGAACAGTTATGAAGATTAACTTTTAGCATAACCACAATTTTACCATGTGTGAGTTGCCCTTTCGAAGAAGGGTCAACAAAATATATTTTTTTCTGTTCCCACTATTTGGAATAATCTCCCATTAAGCATTCGTTCCTGCACTACAGTCGCATCATTTTAAGAGAAATCTAAAAACTCATTTGTTTTCTTTGTAATTGTTATTTTTTTGGGGGTAATGCACTTGGAGAGCATATAATTATTCTGTTTTTATTAACGAATGTAAAGCGCCTTGAGCATGTTTATGTAAAGGCGCTATATAAATATCAATATGTATGTATGTATGAAAGAGAACTAAAACTTCCTCCTCAAAATGATGTTGCATTTGGTAGGCTTGATTATACTTTGCATAACTAGTTAGTGCCAAAAATGACATTCCCCCCAAATTTTCCCCATAATATGAATTGCTCCAAAAAGCATGTTTCTCTAAATTTCATAAATTACCTTCACCAATGACTTCAAACTCTTATGAATACTGCCTACAGATATGGTCAATATTATTTCATAATTTTTAACAAATACAATGTAGTTATAGCGCTCTAAACTATATATGTTGATATCAGTTAACATGATATTTATGGTTGCTAATGGCTGCCTTCTCTTTTACTCGGTTCGACTTATGGGTAAAAATACACCAACCCCAAAAAGATTGCAAAAAAAGAGTTTTTTTCAACGGTTTCCGGTAAACAAAAATGAAATCAGGAACAATATACTAAAATTTAAAAAACGGACCCCCCGGCCGGAAAGGCATCCACGATAGCCGCCAATACCTTAAAATAGCCATAAATTATGATATATCCATCTTGGAAATGTGATGTTATTGTCTATACCTAGGTTTTGGGGGTCGACAAACAAAGGGCTATGGCCACCATAATACATGTTCCTGTAAATCCAAGATGGCGTCCAAAATCATGGCCGCCATCATCTTCAAAATGTCCGGAAGTGAGTTCCCCTTGCAAGATTAAATTTATGTTGAATGTATGTAAGGTTTAGAGTAGCCTTATACCCACAACAATTCCAAAGAAGGCATCCATTTTGTCATCCGAGATGGACGGCGATAACTGAAATTTGCCATAAATCGTGACATATCCATATATAAGAGATACATGTATTATGTTGGTATCTATACCTACGTTTAGGGTTCGAAACTCCATTAAGACTGAGTGGGGGAGGGAGGGGGTAGAGGCCAGTAGGCTCTAGCCACTAATTACCGACAAATACATTAATGGCAGTGTGCCAATGTCTACAAATTTAACCCTACAAACCCGGGGGCGAATTTTTTTTCCGTACTCGAGAGAGCAAAAATCCCATGTGCGCATGCGCGTGGACTTGTGATTTCTCTGCTACTTCCCATACGAAATGTACATGTATTCGCATGTACTGTGCACGATTCGCGTTCTACGAGTAAACGATGGCATAGTAGTCTTCAAACACAGACTCTGATTTGCCAGTTTGACAAATCAATATGCGTATGTGTCGCGATGTGCTTATTCAAGTCTGTGTAGTTGTATGATTCAGACCCAGTAGTGCATATGGAAATACATTGCAACTTGTATAGAATGGTATAGTAGTCTGCAAGCACAGACGCTAATCTGACAGTTTGACAACATACTAGTAGTGTGCTGAGAAGTACTTTATTCAAGTCTGCGTAGATGTATGATTCAGACCCTACTGGTGCGTGCGTTAGAAATGCATCTCAATGTGTAGAGTGTAGTATAGTAGTCTGCAAGGACATAATAATATATTGTGTATTGATGAGTAGTGATTTTATGCAAGTTTGTGTAGTTTAATGATTCCAGACCCCATGGTAGGCCTATGTATTGTGCCACTGCTCTCTCACACTCTTTCTCTCTCTCTCTCTCTCTCTCTCTCTCCAAGGAGAGTCTGTGCTTGCATACTACTATGCCACTCTATAAGTTGAGGTGCATTTCCAATACACGCACCAGTAGGGTCTGAATCATAAAACTACTCAGACTTGAATAACACTATTTTGTCAAACTGTCAGATTAGCGTCTGTGCTTGCAGACTACTATGCCACTCTGCAAGTTGAGATGCCTTTCCAATACACGCACCAGTAGGGTCTGAATCATAAAACTACACATATTTGAATATAAAGCACTACTCAAGACACTATATGTTGTCAAACTGTCCGATTAGCGTCTGTGCTTGCAGACTACTATACCATGCTATTCAATTTGGGATGCATTTCTGTAAGCACTAAAATGTCTGAATCATACAACTACTCAGACTTGAATACTAGTACTATTGCTACGCACGATATATGCGTAATTGTTTTGTCAAACTGGCAAATCAGAGTCTGTGTTTGAAGACTACTATGCCATCGTTTACTCGTAGAACGCGAATCGTGCACAGTAGATGCGAATACATGTACATTTCGTATGGGAAGTAGCAGAGAAATCACAAGTCCACGCGCATGCGCACATGGGGTATTTGCCCTCTCGAGTACGGAAAAAAAATTCGCAACCCGGGGCTAATTTTCTTATGAACTATCTATACCTGCGCATGCTCACAACGTCATTTTCCTTGACCTCATAAATATACGGTTTATTTCGTCAAGACTAATCAGCATCGTAGCTATATAAAACATGTGCAACCTTGTTGTCAACTTCTGGGTATGGCGTGATTGGGAAGAGCACTGCGCTTGAACACAAATCTCCCGGATCCAAAGCTCTATATATGGGGCAATTTTTTCAATCCGTTTTTTTCTTTTGCTGATATTATAGTAAGGTTGACAATGAAGACAATGATTTTCAATGATTGCTGGTAAAACTTTGATGAAATTACAAGTACTATAGTTGTAGTCCCTTTCGAAGTCGTACAGCGAATAAAAAGTTACAGTTCATAGGAAAAAATAATTCGCCGGCCGAACGACATTGTACATGTACATCTCACCGAGTTCAATATTATGCGTTGATATAGTACACGACGATATGCGTATCTTTCTTGCTCCCTCGACGAGATGACTCCACCCAACAACAACCCCCCTCTCTCTCTCTCTCTCTTTCTCTCTCTCTCTCTCTCTTACTCCAACCCCTCCTCTTTTATGCTCTCATCCCCTTTCTCCCTTCTCTCCTTCACCCCCTCGTTTAGTTTCATTTTCTCTTTTTCTCCCTTCCCCCCCCCCTTTTTTTTTTCCTTTACTCCTTTTTTTTCTTTCTTTTTTTTCTTTTCATTCTTTTCCTTTCTTTTATTTTCCTTTTCCCCCCTCTCCTTTATCTTTTTTTTTCTTTCCTTTCTCTCTTCTCCTTTTCTTTTTGTTCTTTTTTTCTTTACCTCCCCCTTATATCATTTCCCGACGGCAGCGCAATTTTACCGACAATATCCTGATAGGTGGGGGTGTCGCACCCCCCCCCCCACACACACACACAACCCTCTCTAGCGACGTCCCTGATCGTGCCATTAAAAATTGGCTGCCAAAACATTTTTTTGGCTATAAATCATAAAGTATCCCTCCCATACATATAATATTAGTGTCTATACATTGGTTTCCCGATTTAAAACTATTTTCTAACAAGATCAAGTTGATATGTGTCCTGAATGGTTGGCAGGAAAGCTGGAAAATGAAACTGAGTTAGTGTACAAAACGGCCGCCACATTTAAATGATTGAAAGCGAATCACATTTTATTTTACAATGAGGATATATTTCTTAGGTGTAAGTGTATTTAAGTGTAAAAGTATACATTTTTAAGCGTTATATGTTGATATCTTGGAGTATTCAATATTAAGCCAGGTCAATCATAAATGCTTGTTCTGTAATTTCATTGTCATTGATAGCTAGATCAAGAAAAGTAGTTAAATATTTTATTATGCGCTTTCCATGAACTTGAAAGTATCACGGAATTGTCCTGTGCATTTTTATTAAACTATTTCAGGTAGCAGGACGGGATTTTTATAACAACTCTCCATCCTATCACTCACATTCAGTGAAAATTTTATGCTAGATGATTGTTAATACATCTTTAATAATGAATATAAACAATATCCAGTAATTAAGATTCGTAAAGTATCATAAGGTAGCAAATTAAAATCTGTGCAGCATTTGTATCTAGGGGGGGTCAATATCATCGATTAAATGATACTAACACAGAATTAGGTACACCGAGTTTTAGTTTACTAAACGGTTAATCCTTAGAATGGATATCTCCAGTTTGAGTGTGCCCACTACATGTATATCAGATGATGTGACTTTGGGTATCCTATCTACAATGGCTTATAAAATCATTATTTAAGGTATGTGTTTACCAGCAGATATTCATAAGAGGCACACTGGAGACAGGTGCTACTAAAGTGTTTGTTTTATTTAATAGCTTTTAACTATCTTTAATCTGTATAATTATGTGGGATGGGTGAACCAGCCCCTATTACATGCGGAATATTTTACTGGATATGTTTTTCTCGGGAGAATTTTCATCCATTGTCACCTTGCATCTTCTCCAAGAAAGAATTATAATAGATGTTAAATACGACCTAGTGCAAAATGTTTGTCAGTTTCTATGACATACTATTCCAGGATTGGTCATATGTCATGTATGGGCTGCCACATTGCCAAAAGTCTTAAGGGTACGTATTATGTTTAATTTGGTCGTACATATGGTCATATCTCCATCCTCTTTTGAAGAAGAACAAACGTTTGGTTAGGGTGATCTGTGTGATAATGAAAACGTTAATGCACTATACAAGGCCGTTTCGACAATGGGATCCATAACGGGTAAATTGAACAGTGATTCAAACAGCAGCCAATAAGACCCAGACCTTCGTCTTCCATTCAATTAATTAGAAAAATGGTAGCCATCTGGATGCTAAATTGGTAAAATCTTGGATTCCGTCTTGAAACATAAGATTTATTACATTTGTATATGTATAATTCACATTTTAAGAAACAACGAAAGACATAAGTTAACTCTCTTTTGGGATTTAGGAATTATGGTGTCATTTTCGACGCTATCTTGGATCTATATGATTCCTGTATGCTACAGGACAATTAGATTGGTCTTTAAAGGATTCATTATTCTCTTGCCAGCAGCCAAATTGTAGAGCACAGTTGCAACCATAATTATTACAAAACTTTCTCGCGTAAAAACTATATGATTCTTATGTTATATCAATGGAAATCCATAACTAGAAAATACATTTAATTCTCACAACTTCTTACAGTACAAAAAAAGAAAACAAATCTGGTTATATCAGTTATTTATTTGCTATTGTGGACACTATCATGAATTTCCAGGTATTTTGGTGGCTATACCACATTTTAAACAGTCTAAATGGATTTGTCGACCGCCGAAACCTCGGCATAGACACCAAAATAACATGTCTAAGATAGATATATCACGATTTGTGGCTTATTTCAGTTTCCAGGGGCCATATTGGAATCCAAAATGGCGGTCATCTTTTATAGTGTTTTGAGTATAGGGCAACTTTAAACCATGATAAATCAAAGCAAACCAGTGCATATCCTGATCTCTAAAACATATTTTTAATCTTACTAATTATAACTCTACTGTAAATAGTTAGGAAACTGGCGGCCATTTTGGACGCCTTCTTGGATTTCTATGTTCCTGGTAGCCATAACCAATTGTAAGTAGTATGATTGGATTATTCGACCCATACCTAGGTATAGACACCAAAATTACAAAGATTTATGGCTATAAGCCAGTTTACAGCTACAATCTGCGCATGGGCAGATGAAGGTCATTTGTACCAAAATGGTAAAACCCACATAGATGAATTATGAATACTGGATATGCGCTCATGAAAGTTATGTAACATTATTCATTTATGCACCAACGGTACATTCTATGATACGCAGGTGGAAGTATTCTTTTCAAGAGGTCAAACAAAAGGTATTCATGAAGCACATCTAGGACTTTGGCAGTTATTATTCTAAGATGCTCAAAGTGGAACTTCTCCATGTGTAAAAGATCTGTGAATATTTGGGGTCATTTGTACCATGTGCTACATGTAAACTCCCTTATTGTAAGGTATTGCATGGCTACCATCTTGAACGCCATTTCATAATAAACACTTTCTGTGGGTCTGATTGTCTTAGATTTTGAGCATGTTGTTCCTGATTTAAAAAACTACCGGAAACCGTTGAGAAATCTGTTGTTGATTTTGTTGTTGTTCAAGCTTTAGTTTGACCCGACTTAGTATAACATATCATATTTTTATTGAAAGCCTTTAATTTGGGTTATCGTGGTAGTATAAAAAGGTAGGGAGGTATACTCTCTAAAAAATCGAGTGATCACGGACGTCACTCCTCTGGAGAGTGAAAATGTAGTGAAAATAGAGTGAACATTCACTCTTTTCTTCTTAGAGAGCACTCTAAAATCAATCGATTTTCACTCCTAAACAAGTGATCACGGACGTCACTCCCAAGAAAGTGAAAATAGAGTGAAAATTCACACTTTTTTAAGAGAGTTATAGGCTCACGATGGTGTGGGAGATGTTTCCCTTACTATGGAAGCCGGAACCGGTTAAAAACATAATATGTCGTAATTCGAATAAAGACACGACGCTAATAATTACGTCGGGTCGTAATTCGAATAAAGACACGACAAGTAGTTAAATGTTTTTGACCGGTTCCTGATTCACCCTCTATCTGCTTCCCCATGTCTGGCTAAATGAGTAAAAACTGATGACAAGTGTCCCCCCCCCCCCATCAATTCTTCTTTAACCTACGAAAGCTCGAGAGCTTATTTCCAGTGGGGTCCCTTACAGACATGTATAAAATTAATAAGTTAAAATAGTAATATTTACAGACAGATAAGAAAAATAAAAGAATTACTTATTAATGATAAAAATAACATTAACAACATTAAACTGATGATAGAAATGATAATAAGTACAAGAAGAAAAGGAAGACTGAGCAAAAGAAAAAGAGGACGAGGAAGAAGAGGAAAATACTAATGAATTTGTAAAAATTCTAACAAGTACGAAAACATAAGTATATACAAAATGAAAAAGTATGAACCGGCAGAAGTATACAAATTTCAATCATATAACATGTCATTCACTTCTCTTCTCTGACTGTCAAGTATTAGGTATTCCTTTAATGTCTTTTTAAAATGAGCATAGTTTTCTATTTTCTTTACACTATTGGAAAGGGAATTCCAATGTTTTATGGCATTGTAATAAAAACGAATTTCCAATACTACCTACTCTTTCTGGTAAGTTAAAGTTAAATCGGCTATTTCTTGTATTATAATCATGTACGTCAGTAACAAGATCGAAGTTGGTTCGAATATAATGATTCGACCTAGTATGATATATTTTATGCACGTGATGCAATACGAGTTGTTTGATCTTTGGTCGACTTCAAGAAAACCTGCTTTTAGAACTACTTTTAGAACAAAACAAAACGCTTTCTGTTTTTGATACATTCAACTTACGTAACTCTTTGAAAACAAATTGTTCACTGATTGGTAATAATTCGAAGCTGTTTTCACCTACACCTTTTCTTTTGTAAAACTCACGAATACGTTCATAGTCTGCGCTGAAAAAGTTTTAGGAAGGGGGAGTTTGTCTACTAATTTGGCAGCCACATTTGTGAAATGAGAATTGAATTCATCAGCGATGGCCATCTTATCATGACATAATTCCCCATCAATTTTATTGACAGATTCTTGTTCTTTTCGCTTCTTATTTTTTAATCCTAAGCTTTTTGGATTCTGCCAGTAATCGAGTTTAGCCTTGTATTATAGAGCGTCTCATCTGTTGCTCTTTCCTCAATTTTTTGTATACTATATTTCTCTCTTGAATTAGGGAACGAATATCCTTACTCACCCAACTTTCTGATCTCTGTTTTATTCTTATCCGTTTCAGTGGCGCTATCATATTCAAATTTGAGATAAAAACATGTTGAAATATTGACCATGCCTCATTTATATCTGTACAGTCAGTTATTCCTGACCAATCAACAACAGATATTTGAAGATCGAAAGACTCTTATGTATATTTTGTCATGGATCTGATATCATTAGTCCTGTGATGACCTATAGCCAGTGTAATATTTGTCCATGTACAGAAAGTAAAAGAATGGTCGCTAATACCTAGATCAATGACACCACTTTGACTTATTTTGTTTTCTTTCGGAGGTCGATACAGAACGCCAACAACAATTGGGGTTATATTTTGTATTTGATTCCTTGTGAAGCAAAGGAATTTGTCCTTTGTGTATATAAAAGTCAACTTTATATTTTGTGTATTTAATGACTTATTGCAATGCTGTATATTTAATGTGTTTTAGCTCACGCGAAGGGATCTACAAACATGGCCGATGAAGTGTTGCATACTGAGGATAATCATTGCCAACCGATTCTTGTCAATGGTGAATTAATGCCTACAGTGCCAGAGTACATGCCCTCGCTTCCCATCACATTGAAGGGTATCAAACGACATTTCGTTTGCAAGTTAGCTGGTGAGTTTTAGCTTTATAGTGATGATCATTACAATTATGATATGTCTGTCCAACTTGAAGATTGATTTATAATATCATAACTCATTGGAATGAAGGGTAGGCTTTGAAAAATTATGATTCTTGAACAATAATGGTAATTATACAATTAATAATCTATGAACGACTCAAATGTATGCATGAGTTAGGAACCATGGGGTCTATTATATATGTACCAGTAATCATATTGTTATAAGAAACAAGTACAACACAAGACACCACGATGATGAACACGAAGGATGGGGGTGGGGGGGGGGGGGGGTAGTGAGCACTAACAAATACAATTGTTGTTTTGTTTTTTGATTTTGTTTTTCTTTTTTGTTTACTCAACTACATCCCCCTCCCTTTAAGCAACAAAAAACAAATTGTGGTTACAATGTTTTTCTTAACCTTTTATTTCGCAGAGGGGGTGGCCGTGTTTATTTTGTTAAAGGTTAAATTGTGTTACCTTTATATCTCTTCCTCTCTAATATGTTGTGGTGATGGTTATTCTACCTGACTGCTAAG